GGGAAAAGCTCAGTCTGACTCTGCAGTTTCCAACACAGCAGGAGTAGCAGCTGATTTTCGGCCTCAGCAATGGCAGAAGCTGTCATAAGACATTGGGTGGAAACTCCTGTACGCTACCAGGAGCAGTTTGTTGACCAAGAGCTGGAAGCACACAAACTGAACCACCTTTTATATGCTTTGCCGGGCCCTGCCACCACTGCACTGAGGGACCGAAGGTGTGCCACAGAAAGCACGGCTGGGGCCAGGAAGAGCAGCCAGGAGGAGGAAAACACACATTTTCGGGTCTTGCTGGATGTTGTGCAGTTTCGCCCCGAAGATATCATTATCCAGACTTTCGAAGGCTGGCTCCTGATTAAAGCTCAGCACGGACCCAGGATGGACGAACATGGTTTCATATCTAGAAGCTTCACCAGACAATACAAATTACCTGACGGAGTGGAGAACAAAGACTTGTCTGCACTTTTCTGCCATGATGGCATTTTGGTTGTTGAAATGAAGAACTCAGTGGAAAAGAATTAGAACCATGTCTATAGTTATCGGTGAGATAAAATCATTCTTAATGTAACAAAATTATAATCATGCAATGCTGTAGGGTGTAGTAAGCATGTAGCATGTATTTATTGAAGGAAATTATTTGTATATATTTTTCTGTATGCTGAGTTTACTGTTTGATGTGAACTGTTATACTGCTTGCCTCCAGCTACACATAGGTTGAAAACACAGGCTGTTCAAACAATAGCAAACTCAGGTTACTCTCAGCAGGAGAAAAGAAAAAATCTATTTGGTAACATATTGAAAATGGAGTTCTGAGTTAAGTAGCAGGAATTATATTTCTAAGGAATAAGCATTTGTCATACATAGTCATAAACATTAAAGAAGGAATGGACAAGTTGTCAATCTTATGGAAACTTATGTACCAAAAATTTTGTTTTCTAATTTTTGAGATTAAATTCTTCTCTCTGGAAAAACATATAAACTAAAAGAGACCATCAAGAAAAAAAAAAATCCCTATTTCTACAGTTTAAGCTTCTATACAAAAAAAAAACTCTCAAGAGTTTACTTTGTAGAAGTGTGTTGCATGTTTCAAACTATAAGAAAAAATAATTGGTTTGCTTGATGTTATATGCTTGAAAATACAATAAATAGAAATTATACTTTCTGTCAAATTAATTTGAAAGGAAAACTTTAAAGACATTTTAGAAAATTGGTTTTGTTTAACATAAAAAATGAAGAAAAAATATTTGCTTACAAAAGCACCAAATTCTTCTTTGTAAAACCTCAGTAATAAAAAGACATTGCTCTTGCACAAATGCCTTTTTTCTTACACATTTTAAGTAATCTTGTTATTTAATCAGATGAGTATTTAATTGTCCACGTTCCTTGACAATTTAGGCTGAAATCCCACAACTTTGTCTTCAAGAGCAAATTTCTCTGCCAATGATAATGTCCCTCTGCCCATAGGAACACAGACTCTACATGAATCTAATTTTAAATATAGGAGTTCCTTGCTGCAGACACAGCTTTAGTTTCTGTTCCAGTGTCTCACATTTCATGAGAGTGGCAGAGATGAAAAAATATCCACCTTCTATATCTAGTATGTGGTCCTCTCAATATTAAAAAGAAATAATGCTATGGATTTGTAAATACTCACATATTTGAGGGTAACTGCATCTGCAAGTTGAACTGCCTCCTTTTATGTGTACTGGAGACTACAATGACTGGTGTGCTATGAATAGTAAAGGAATGTGGAATGGAAAGTGCTAAGTTAAAAACAGACTCTTTATCACAGCCATCTGCTGTTTGGACAAATCAAAAACATATTCAAATGAAACTGAATACAAATACAATTTTAGGAATACAAGATGAACAAAACCTCGGCTCTCTCTGGCTGAAGCTAGAGTGTTCCTTTTGTTTCAAGTTAAAATCCTAAGTTGTATGTTTGCACATGTCGATTTATGAAAAGATTTACATTTTTGTTGTTTAGACTTAAAGATATTTGAAGCCATTGGTTTTAGAAAAGTGGTTAGTACATTTCTTGTATTTTACCTATTAATTGTGCTAAAACTCACAAGAAATTTGTACAAAAAAGGCAGAATAAAGTCTGAATTGTAAATTTCCATCACATGCAATTATATTTTTAATGTACCAGAAGTCAAGAGTGTAATGTGCTCTACCAAACTAAATCAAATATAAAATGTATGTCCCTGCATTTCTACTCAACCCCACATTTTCCCTTCATATTGCCTGTGTTCAATTTGCATATTGGTTTAAGATCAAACAGCCAATCAGATCTAGATTTCTATGTCTAGGAGCTTCATCAAAGAGCAATCTGGTAGAAGATGTAACAAGGACTTAAGAAACTGAATTCTAGATACAGGTCTGGATTTAAATTTTACAGGCCAGCTTTATAAAAGCTGTACAAGCTTAAAACCATGGTTTCTACACCACCTATGGCACAACTATCGCAATAGTGTTCAGGATCACAAGTTAGCAATCTGATTTAGTGATTTTTGTTTACAGAGAGTTTTGTAAATTTTATCACTTGAACTTACAAGTTATTATAGAAACTATTCTAGCTATGATTGCAGTGATGATATTCATAGCCCTATAGATGAGAAAGACGTTCTAAAAAAACATAACTGATTTAATTATTTCAAATTAGATCATGGTTAAGCTACTGGAAACTTGGCAAGGAATTAGACCATACAGCCAAAATCATATCATCTGCTCTATATATGTTAATACCATGGTTACACACAGGCCTGCTTATGCACACAGGCCTGCCTCACAAATCTGGGTGGAGAATGTAACATCTGATTTTTCTGTATTGCAGGTCTCTCTGCATCACGCTGTGCCCAAGTCTCTACTTGCTCACAATGTCATCAGTCAGAAATCACTGGCACACCTTGACCCAGACATAGCACAGCCAAACTTTACCTTCTCTTGTAGACAGATCTTTACAAAAGCCTATATCCATGCTCCTTGGTAAATGGGAACTTCCCCTGACCTTGTACCTGAGTGTTGATGTAACAGGGACCACACTGGAGTGTGGACCTGCCACTGAATTCCTGCATTTTAGCACCAAGAAGAGCATAGGAAAATGTTTCCCTCCTTTTTTTTAAGTGGTGATTTATCAAAAGATCTTGGATGGATGATTTTAGGTGTATACCAGAACAATCTCAAAGTACTTGGCAGACAGTTTCTGAATAATCTGGAAAGATCTGTTCTCACATATTTTATATTTTACTTTTATAATCTGATTAGAACTGAATGTGAATATCACATAGAAAGCTGCTAATATTGCTCATGGGCAGCAGGCTGAGATATTAATCAACAGCAAAGGATTTCAGAACACCTACAGCTTAGGGCAGGTTTAAGACATACTGATGTGGTTAAATTAGGAACTGTGAAATTGGATGTCTATAAAATTCTGGCCCAGAATAAGTGATAAGCCTGTGGAAGCTTTTGCAGGCCAAGTGTTACTGAGCTTCCTCAGTTCCCAACAGTGAGGGATCAATTACCTTTGTGATTGATCAAACTGCTCCTCCAAATGTATAAAGATGATTTAATGAATGAGTGTAAGCGCTGTGAAAAATGCTTTCGTACAGAAGAAAATTTATCAATATGGTACTAGTCTCCAAATAGAAGGTAAAAAAAAAAAATTCTGTAAGATTCTTGTGGGCCGAAAGCCCAAAAATGCCTTTCATTGCCTTGCTGCCTTTTTATAGTTTCTGCTGCAGCCAGGGTATTTGAGATCTCTCTACAGAGTCCAGTACTGGTAATACAGTTAACCAAGGCTGACATGACACCTACCAGTCACTCAATAACAACTTAGCTGCAGCACTGGAAAACAGAAAAGGAAATCTCTGGTATATCATAGTCGTGACACTCCCACTCAGAGGGGAAGGTCTCACTTTGTATCAGGGGAAGGTCTCATTTCTTACTTCATATCCAGGAATCAAAACATCCCTTTTAAATCTAAGTAACAGTACAAGACTGGTTTTTAAAGCAAGTACAAACATTTCTGAAAATATTAGGTACGCCTTCTGTTGTTTGAAAGAGATGCAGACCTCTGTCTTGCCAGCTATCAGAGACAGTAGCTGGTCCCTCTCACCCAGAGGACAGCAGCTCAATAGCCCTACATTGTGAACACAGAAATTAAGTCTAAAGAGTTACATCTGTACACGACGTTGCAGTAGTGAGCTGGCCCAATTGTGTTAACTCTGTGCCAGCTCAGGTCCAGAAAACTCAGACTCTCTACTGCTGTGCTCAGGCTGAAAAGTCGTCCCTTATTTAATAAAACCACTTGGACATTAAGACAGATATGGGAAACATGGCACTCCAGCTCAGGACGCCCCACTCAGGTTAGTGCTAGAGTGGAGATTTCTGCTGTCTGTGCCATGGTGAGCTGCATTTTCACCAGAAATCCCATCAGTCTACTTTAAAAGTAGTCTACTTTAGTCACATGGTAATACTGCTGATGCCAGCCTTTTCAAGGGGAAGCATGTCTAGCAGTAGCTTGCACAAATAGAACTGGTGCAAACAGAGAATAACTTACAGTTCCTCTCATGCTCCTTGGTATGTTTACTGTGCTTTGGGTTGACCCTGATCCCAGTAAGCACTGGTGATGAAGCTCTGCTACATGGCACAGAAGCTGCAGCAGGCAGGTCTGTGCACGAAGAAACAGAAAACTGTAGAACCAGGATAGTTAAGTCTTGGCACACAGGTCTGTCAGGGAGAGTAAAACATCCCTGTGTTACCAACACTGTTTCCAGCAAATCCAAACCACAGCCCCATAGCAGCTACTGTCAGGAAAATACACTTAATCTGAAGTCAAAACCAGTAGACATATATATATATATATATATATATATATATATATATATACATATGTATATAAAGAGATTTGAAGACACAATATTTAAACCTTCTACAAGAAATACTTGACTTTTTTGTAAAATAAGCATTTTTAGGGGCTGTGAAATACATTTTAAAATTACTTCCAAAATTTTTGATTTTTAATAGAAAAGGAACAACATACATGGACTGAACCCTTGGTATCCTAGGCTGAAAGAGTATCTTCAGCTACTATTTTCAGATATGTTTCTTTTCAATGGCACATCTATTCAACTATCTATCAATTATACATTTCATCATGTAAGCAGACATCGCATGTCAGAATTTCCAAAAGTTTCATTTGTTCTTAGTAGATTTGGATGACATGGGGATAAAAGTGGAAGTGCCCTACCTGAACTAGCCACCCCAGAATTCTTAGTTAAGCCTTCATCAGCTCAAACTGGTTTACTGAATCAGTATAAAATAGTTAACTTGTGCAGCTGTCCTCTCACTGGCTCTGCATGGAGCTAGTCTGATCCAGCAAGACTTCCCCACTCAGGTGCCAACGTGCAGCCTCCGGGGCTGGCTGGAACATTTCTCTCTACCACCACAGTACCAAGAGTAGAAGCTGGCTGGTCCTGCAGCTGATTCAGACATCCAGAGGGACCACATGAGTAGTTCTCTGTGTGTGTCTGACTTTCCACAGGAGGTAAGAGGGGATCTGAGAATGTTTTTTAGTCCAGTGGCAGTAACTCCTTTATTTTTAGTTCCACTCCTCATTTTCCAGGATATGCCATTCTCTTCTTAGCCTGGGCACAGGAGCCATCTGTTCCACAGACATCACAGTAGCACACTGGAGTAAGCACGAAGAGCAGGCATGGCTTCTGTCTGTGAATAAGTTGCTTTGGAATTTGGATGTTGGGTTTAAATAAGTCCAGCTCTTAACTAAAAATTGTTCCATTGATCATAGCTGTAATGAAAAATTAATGAAGGGGAATTATTTTCAGAGCAGAGTGTGACTAATAAAAACCTCTGTCTTACAAGGCAGACAAGCTCATAAGCTACCTGCTCTGGTGACAGCAGATATTTTAATAGCAGTTCAATTATATTTTGCAACTTTACCACAATTACCCAAGCACTGGTGGCATGATTAGTATGTACTGTACAAGACACATCATAACTACAGTCTCTGCCTTAATGTATATATGGAGCCTCAGGACTTGATCCCGGCATGAAACTGAGAGACTCAATACAGATTAGGAGACTATGAGACAACTAAGTGAAGAAATATGAACTCTGGACCCAAAATAATAACTATAGCAATATTTAACCTAAACCTTCTAGAAACCTCAGTCTGAAATTACTACAGTGTCAAGACAGATAAGGTTTCCATATTTATTTTATTCCAGATTTAAAGGTCAGAAGGATCAGTGATGATCCCTAGTGTGACACCTGAGCAGAATGCACATTATCTCACCTGATAATTTACTCATTAAGCTAACCCATAATATGTTTGAAAAAGAACACATATTTAAGTAAGAAATCAAATCTTTATTTCAAGATTTCAGTTGATGGAAAACTCATCACACCTCTCCATCAGTTATTCAAGTGTTAATAATCATCATGGCCTACAAGAGCAGGTTTTCCCTAGTCCCCTGAGATTTGTTGAGTGATAATTTTATCCTAAAATTAAAAGTAACACTCTGGACAGCTCTTGGGACAGTCTTTCTACTACCCTGTTTTTATGAGTTACAAAGATATAAAAGCATAATGCTTTCTATTAAACAGTCTAATAATTAAACAGCTACTAATAGAATACAAAGGAATTTACCAACATGAAAAACTGCAAATACAATTTTTCCACATAGAGCAGAAATACTTACTGAATAACTTTGCATATATTTAATATCTTTGTACCTTATGGATACCTGTATCATCATTGGCAATTTTGCCGTCTTCATGTCCTACTCTTTAGCTATTTCTAGGATTCTGTTGCTTGTTGAAGAAGTCCTGACCTCCCACTGATCATATAATTTTTACTATACTCTGAGCTTTCTCCTGTATCAATTGATATTGCTTCCTACCAACTCCTTATTTTTCCATTTCTACTTTCACTTGCCCTTTTATAACAATGTATTTTAAAATTGGATAATTCTGCTTAGATGAACACAGTTCGTATTTATGAGTAACAACAAACACTCTAAATGCATACAGAACAACCAGAGCCAGGTTCTGACACTGTTTCTCTTAGGAAATTATAATCTCTTTAAGATTTTACTAATGGTATGGATGCCCAATACATCTCTGCATTGAACTCTGTCCTAAAACAAATGTTCAAAACAAGGAAGCACCAGGCTACACCACCTGTGATAGGGAATTAATGTCATTCACTTTCTCACAAATACATGGCCCTAAGCAAGCACAGCAAGAACCTTCTTCATCACCTCAATATTTGCAAGCCTCTATGTTCTCCAAAAGACAAGCAAAACACAGAAGCTAAAATAGAGTAACATAGTGTCATTTCCAGACACTCAGCTTCTCAGAACTCTCCATGTCTTGAGCTGTCACAGGCAAATGAGTAACTCCTTGGCCATCCTTTGATAGTCCATGTCCACAAGCAACAACTTGAACAAAATTCTTCTCCTTGAAGATAAAACAATGTCACCCAAATATTAATTAACCTTAATAAAAATGTCACTGTCTCCTGATATAGAATGCACTGTACCAGTTTAAACACAAGCTCTGAGAAAATAAAAGATACTTTGATGGTCAAAATTCCACCAAAACTGGTCTGTTGCCTAAGTTAGTGAACGCTTGTCCTGGTTTCCAGGCTGAGACTGAGAAGTCACTCATAAAATGCAACAATGGACAGTAAAAACTCATAAAGTATTGTCCAGGCTCATCCATCTTGATCCATTGACATTATAACTGAGGAGCTGCCAGTGACTAGTCCTTCACTCTGCAACCAGCCTCTGCCAGGCACCTTTCTGCACTGACCAGAACAACTTCAGCCACAGTCCTGTGGATTTTTAGAACCTATTTTATTTTATATAACTTATTAATTGTTATTATATTTATATAACTTTATTAATGGTTATTTTAAATAACCATTTATTTTCCCATGGTAAACCTCAGGAATAACACAAGCACAGACCCTGCTAAGGAGGTCTTCTCTGCAATTTCTCTGTCCTGGGTGAAGACAGGGAAATATGCATGAAAGAAATTAATGAATTCTCAATTCTTTATTCTCACTATCCTACGACATATTCATCCTATACAATGGGTTCATTGCCACAGTTACATGGTACATGGATATAATACTGGCCTCAACACAGCTACCCAATTAGCTCTCAGTTTTGCTTTTTACCAAGTATTTGTTATTACTAAACGTATTGGACTGATAAACATAAGATTGAGATTACTCCTCAAGGACTTAGGTAGCTCAGGACAAAGTACTGCAGGCTCATTCATCCTCTTTTGCTGTCTCTCTCTTTATTCAGGAGGAAAATTCTGCCTGTGTGCATGCCCAGGGACTGGCAGTTGGCATGGGTCCATTTGTCCATAACCATGAGAAACTCAGCACCGTCAGGATGTCAGCCTAGCACATATCACCCCTGCCACAGCATGGAAGAAGAGCTGCATACATAAAGGATTTATCCTGACAGCATCCTAAGATGGTTTGAAACATTATCCCTTCAGACAGGAAATGGAGACAGACACGCATTGCAAGTAATATTAAATGAAGAGTGGAGAATAACTAAGTAACAGCTACCTATTATACAGACTGGGGCTGTGATAGCTAATACATATTGCAAAGACCAAGCAAAAACTCAGTGTTTCTGATAAATTATCTCTAGCTTTACACAGTCTGGTTTGAAAAAAGCAATGCAACTTTTACTTAATTCATACTTGTTACTGAAAAATATTTTGTTTTCTTCTATATCTCACGGAATTTTTTCCTAAATTTCTGCTTTTAAAATACTATAAAGTGTCTCTATTTCTCTTTGGTTTATGTTTTCAAGTAAGATTTTACAAAACATTTCAAATAAAATTACATTCCATCTTTCAGAAACTGAAAAAAATACCACTAGAATAACACGTTTATAAAACTTATTGCATTTTCTTTATTGATTTGATAGGTCAAAGTCTTTACTTGCCTTTAGCATCTTAGTTTTAGCAATTGAAATGTTTAAACACTTTTGTATTTAAAATAATTTTGTGCCCTCTAGTGGCAGCCCTGCCAGGCACCTGAACTGTGCCTTGCCTTTCAGACATTACATAACAATGGAAGCAAAACAGTTTATTCCCCTACTAAGTGAAATTTATTATTAATCTGTATGCTTTCAAAAAATTACACTCAGCTCTAGTTATGATGAGGTAGTAAGACTACCTACAGATTTACCACAAATAGCAAAACCCCCAAAAATCACATATATTGTGTAAGCATTTCATCAAATTTGCTCTTAGAAATTATATTGATGAAAACCAACCTATTTCTAGCCATTTCCTTGAACAAAGCACTGTTCGGTGTATCTCCTATTAGAGCATTGTTCAATGTCCAGACACCTGTTTTTTCCGGGGTCCACAGAGGAGCATCATCATAAAGAAAAGATGTAGTGCCACAAAAGTCTCATCTTCTCTCATGAAAATTAATTTTGTTTTTCTTACTAAAACAGCAAAGTAATAGCATAAAGGACCAGTAACAAAATAAAGATGGAAAGATTTGACATTTTCAATGAAAAGGGGAAATACAAGCTTCCGTTGCATTTGAGTTCAGAGATTCTTTTCATTCACTTTTTCTTATTCAAGACAGATTAACCATACATTAAAAAAAAAAAAAAAAAGTTTAAATGTTTCCAAATTTTTACTCTAATTTTCTGGACCTGGTCATCAAAAAACCATGCTGCTTTCAAACATCTGCTTTAGCACATATTAATGGTGTCTTGAGACAACTAACTCACATACAGTGAGATATTTCATATATAGTCTTTGGTTTTAGTCTGGCTTTCAGCTTTACTCCCTCTAATTACAGGTCCTAGGAACACAGTAAATAATAGACATTTTCACTGAATTACATGTTATTAGTCTTTATAATAACATTCACTTTGCCTCTGCAAATTCAATTCCCAATGATAATGGTAGAAATTCCCGACCAAGCAAAGCCCTGAGATACACACTTTGTGCAGCTAACATGCTCTAAGTCACTATGTACCATTCTTACTTTGAAACCATTGTCTCTCCTAGTCCAAACAGCAAGAAACAAAGCTTGATAAATCCAGCTCTTCTGCTTGGCACTGCAGATGGTTATTGAGGACTTTGGAAGCTGTTTTTTTTTTCCAAACATTTAAAAAATGTTTGTTAGAATCGCTTCTAATTTTGCAGGTTAGTTTTCTTGAAAATAATTATTTATGGTTTTAAGACATTATTTATAATATCCACAACAGAGTGCCTCAGCACTGTGGTAATCAGAGCTGGCTCACGGGTGTGAAAGAATGGAAAATGTCATTTGCAACCTTTTTATTGTTCCAAATTCTCTTCGCAGTTTTGATCAGTAGGAAAATAACATAGCACACATTTTCCTTTCATATTTTTGCCTTATTGAAAGCATTAGTGCTGGAAAAATCATGACTCAGTGTCACATAACTAATTTTTTTGTTAAAGTCTTCAGATAAAACTGAAATATATTAGAGAATAACTACTTTAAAAATTACACCTATGTAATTAAGAAAAACTATTTTCATTAGCTTTGTAGATCTTACACCTTCAAATTCTCCTGGTAGCAGCTTTTGTCCTGTTGGACTTGACACCTTTGCTTCTGTTCATTTGAGATGCAAACATCAAGCCAACACTTACTAGAGAAAAATCAGGCCAAAAGCACTGAGGGGAGCAGGAGGAATAGGACAGCTGCCATCTCCACCAGACCTAAGGAATTAAGAGAGATGCCCACCTTGAAGTTGTCCCTTTGTCCTGCCCTGGATGTGACAGTCACTGTCAGCATGACCACTTGGAGCAGGAAAATCCCATTCCTGAACCAACTTTGCACCCGTGTAAGTCATCTGTTTGTCACTCCAGGCCATCCAATGAGAGCAAATCTTAAATACCTATTTAAAACAAATCAAGTTGGTCAGCATCATGTCTGATGTACCATTCACTTCAAGTGACAAAAAAGAATTTTGTCTACTCAGAGAAAACAACATTAATCATTAAGAACATTGAAAATTAGATGAATAGGAGTGAAAAGCTTAGGAAAGGAGTTGGATCATGGGCAGTCAAATATATATAATGCAATAAGTAGTATAGAGAAGGCAGATGAAGGACTATTCTTCTGTAGTTTAACCTATGAGGATTCACATGAATGCACAAGATTTCCCAGATCAATGTTAGCAGTAACTTTGGAAGGAATACAAAGTCCCAGTCACTTACCTTGATCTGCAGCAGTCAGAATTTGGGATGAAATCTAAAACCAAGGTCAAACTGATCCACATCTACCTCATGGTGAGGTTTTAGTCCTTACTCTAGGTTGACCACATGGGTGGACAGCAGCATGGTGGGCTGTGGGCCAGCTGCCAAGGCTATCTCTTGTGTTTTGCAGAAGAGAACCAGACCTGTGTGAAATAGCAGACAGCATCAGCTGAAGGGGCAGAACACTGACTGATGGAAAGAGAGCTTTGGTGGTTTAAGAACACTAACAGGTGCTGATGCAGGGTTTGAGGATCCCCTCAGGGCCGGCTGGTCAGCAGTAAGTGACGATGACCACGCCAGGTCAGGGTGTTTCTACCAGCTGCCAGCTCTCTCTCAGGAGACAGCCGATGCTCCTCACCTTAGCACTGCTGTAGACACTCAGAATTGCTCTCTGTACACCTGCAGCACCACAAATGTGCTCCACAGGGTTTGCCACCGAGGAGTTGGTTGTGTGGTGTATTATGTGGTTTTTTGGTCACTTTACTCACTAATTAAAGCAGATTTCCAGATTTAAGCATTAAAGGAAATTGGGAGCTAACATGCTGGACTGGGGTGAGCTGACATATTAAAAAAAATTTGAGTAGACAAGCTACTATTGAGCAAAAATAACAGAAAAGTACTGTGATAATATGTGAACTAATTGTGGGGAAAATGAAGGTCCAAAGAAGAAATGTAGAAAGTAAACCCTGGGTATCAAACACTAAAACCAGCAATGAAAGGAAACAGTGGGTCTTGTAGCATTCCAGTGAATTGCTTCCAGACAAAGACAAATTATTTGACACAAATCTAGGAAGCAACATACTCTAAACTATGGCAGAGAAATAAGCAAGATATCCAGATGCTTATAAGAACACATGAAGAACTGGAGACCAGAAACTTTGAACATCTCCTCTGAAACACTTCCTTCTAATTGCTCGTGAGCAGGTAGAAATTTTGAGAGAAACTCGTACCTAGGGATGCAAAGAGAGGTAAAAGATGATCAACAGGACGGGATCCATATGTCTAGACAACACAGGACCAGGAGAAACAAGTGGCTAAATAACCAGGCAGGGAAAAAAGCACCTCGATCGGACTGAGGCAGTTCAATAGAAAACCAACATCAGTGCCACGACTACATTTTTCGCGAAGGCTAAAACACGATTTATCCCCAAGCAAAACGCGCCCTGACATTGATTTTCTCTGGACGCCGCAGGCAGCGGAGGAGCGCCGGCAGCACCGGCGCGGCCGCCCAGCACCCGCCCGGCGCGGCTCCCGCGGCGGCGGCCCCGGAGCGCGGGGAGAAGACCCGAGGGCTCGGGAACCCTCCCACAGGGAAGCCTGACGCGCCTCCGAGGGATCGGGAGGCGGCGGCGGCCCAGCGGCGGGGCCCGGCGGGCCCGGGGGCGGCCCCCGGCCGGCAGGGGGCGTAGGGAGGGGGGGTCGGGGGGGGGGCTATCGATGGGGGCGGCCGCTCTGCGCTCGGCTGCTCCGCCCTGCCGCTCGGCTCTGGATTAGCGCAACTGGCGACGTGGGACGGCCCGGCCCGGCCCGGCCCCGCGCCCGCCGCCGGCACCGGGAGCAGTACCGGGAGCAGTACCGCGAGCGGCTCAGGGACCGGCTCCGGGTGCGGCACCGGGCAGGCCGCCGACGGGACGAGGAACCCGAGGGCGGCGGCACTCTGGTGCGGCAGCCCCGCCAGCGCGACGCAGTGAGGGGCGGTGGCGCAGGGAGCGCCCCGGTGGGCGGCGATGGCGCTGCGAGCGCGGGCTCTGTACGACTTCAGGTCAGAGAACCCGGGCGAGATCTCGCTGCGGGAGCACGAGGTGCTGAGCCTGTGCAGCGAGCAGGACATCGAGGGGTGGCTGGAGGGCGTCAACAGCCGCGGGGACCGCGGGCTCTTCCCGGCTTCTTACGTGCAGGTGATCCGCGCCCCCGCCGCCGAGCCGCCGCCGCCCGCCCGCTACGCAAACGTCCCCGTCGGCGGATTCGAGCCGCTGCCGCCCCCCGCCGCCTTCAAGCCGGCGGCGCAGCAGCCCCCGCCCGAGCCCTTCCCGCCGCCCCCCGCCGGGTATCCCTTTCCGCCCTACGGCGGCTCCTACCAGCCCAGCCAGGGCAGCGATGACGACTGGGACGACGACTGGGACGACAGCTCCACGGTGGCTGACGAGCCGGGCTCCCTGGGCAGCTCCTACCCCGACTACGAGGCGGCGGGCGGCGGCGCCTCGGGCCGGTACCGACTGTCCACCCGCTCCGAGCCGTCCCTGGGCTCCCGCGGCGCGGGGCACCCACCGGGACACCCGCACCCCCCCGGCGGCGGCGGCGGCGCCAAGAGCTCGGCCACGGTGAGCCGCAATCTCAATCGATTTTCCACCTTCGTCAAGTCCGGCGGAGAGGCCTTCGTGCTGGGCGAGGCGTCGGGCTTCGTGAAGGACGGGGACAAGCTGTGCGTGGTGCTGGGCCCCCGGGGCCCTGAGTGGCAGGAGAACCCCTACCCCTTCCAGTGCTCCATCGAGGACCCCACCAAACAGACCAAATTCAAGGGCATGAAGAGCTATATCGCCTACAAGCTGGTGCCCAGCCACACCGGGCAGCAGGTGCACCGCCGCTACAAGCACTTTGACTGGCTCTACGGGCGACTCGCTGAGAAGTTCCCTGTCATCTCCGTGCCCCACTTGCCAGAGAAGCAGGCCACTGGCCGCTTTGAGGAGGACTTCATCTCTAAACGTCGCAAAGGCTTAGCATGGTGGATGGACCATATGTGCAGCCACCCTGTGCTCGCTCAGTGTGATGCCTTCCAGCACTTCCTCACCTGTCCCAGCACAGATGAGAAGGCCTGGAAGCAAGGCAAGCGCAAGGCTGAAAAAGATGAGATGGTGGGTGCCAACTTTTTTCTGACCATCAGTGTCCCCACAGGCTCTGGGGCCAACCTAGACTTGCAGGAGGTGGAAAGCCAGGTGGATGGCTTCAAAGCCTTCACCAAGAAGATGGATGAGAGTGCCCTGCAACTTAATCACACAGCCAACGAGTTTGCCCGTAAACAAGTCACTGGTTTCAAGAAGGAATACCAGAAGGTGGGGCACTCCTTCAAGTGCCTCAGTCAGGCATTTGAGCTGGACCAGCAGGCCTTTTCAGCTGGCCTCAACCAGGCCATAGCCTTCACTGCAGAAGCCTATGATGCCATCGGGGACCTCTTTGCAGATCAGCCCCGGCAGGACCTAGATCCTGTGATGGATTTGTTAGCGTTATATCAGGGGCATTTGGCCAACTTTCCAGACATCATCCATGTGCAGAAAGGTAAGACCTGTATGTGTTTTCTGAAACAAATTAACTTTTATATGTCAGTGGTATGCAACTGATACAGGAACCAATGCCTACATTTGCCCTGTGTCTGGCTTGCTGGCCTTTTTTTCAATCTTATTGTGTTTACTCAGGTAAACTCTCATTATAAATACAAAAAAACACATCAGTGACAGTTTTTGTTTTGTGCCAAAGGCTTAAACATAGTTGGGAGTTTTGCTGATCAGAGGTTGCTGTGTTTGGCTGAGTATCTCTGAAAGCAGCCACATCTAACTAAACTGCCTATACATTAAAGATTATTTGGCTTGTTTACAAACCCTGGAAATCAAGTGGTATGCAAACATCTATTACTCTGAGGTATGTGAGGTATCTTGAATCTTTTGTCTATTAGGTAATGAATATGAAGTAATATGTTGATGCTGTTGTCCCTCTGATTTACCACTCTCTTCAAGGTGCACGTGGAAGTGTGTGTTTTGCAGCATCAGTCTGATGAGATGTTTAAGGCTGCTGGGGCATCTTTGTTCAGCCAAGTGTCCTGTGGTATCTGTGAAAGAGTAATGGTCAGCTACAGTGTTCTTACTTGTTCAACCTTAGCCCTTATTGTCATGAACAGATGCTGGTCACCTGTTATCCTTTCAGCATCTTTCTAGCTGAAATATGCTATCCAGGTTCAGATTGCTAGTTGTAAGGTACTTTGTGACCTGTCAGAAAGAATCTCAGAAATGAAAAAAAAAATCTGCTGTATAACTAATGACACTTATTCAGAAAAACATAAGTTTGTAGTATTGTATATGAGGAAATGCTGCTGTTAAATTATTGATAGTCATACATTCTTTACCATTGCAAGTAGGTAAGTCCATATTTTTTTTATTATCTTCCTTACCTGTAGTTTTCAACTCAAAATGCAGGAGAGTGTGGGTATTTGAGCTGTAAAACAGACCAAAAAAATATGACATACACTCTGCAGAAATGGGTATCCGTAAGTTATCCAAGAAAATGCATGAGCTTTGTAGAAAATTATTTTGGAGATTAAATCCCAAGTGAATTGTCACCCAGAGCAAATCAGCCTTTTTGTCCTTATAGGACATTTCCAGGGGTTTTGCATCTGGAACAGTACACTAAATTTGGTAAAAAAAAGTGGAAAAGTTTTTTCAACAGAGCAGAAAGACAATTGTTCAGAGGTATGCATTGCTGGGAACAGCTGAGGAAAGAGAGTTGCTACAAAGTGCCCAATTGTTGTTATTTAAGAAAATAAGCTTTTCATAAAAATTGTATGCATCAAAGTCAGATTTCCATTCTCCTGTCAAATATCAAAAATTGTGAGTGGAAATTTAAACAATCTAAATTTTATTTTGAAGAAGAAAGGGAGGTGTGAAGATTAGCATTTGAGGAGTTTCTTTTCTAGCTTCTGTGGTCTTGTGTTTTGATAACAGCTTTCAAATATTTTAGATTTGGGGTGATGAGTGGCCTTGGCAATGCCTCATGTTTGGGAGCAGAGCATGGTAAAGTGAGTTGTCATCCAATAGGATTATCTGTAAGTTTCTGGGGAAAAATAAAGGGAGATATACTTGTATTAAGAAAAATCCAGCAGACTGTATATACTATTTAAATAATACATCCTCAAGCTTTAAAATTATATGGCTGTCTTCACTGATTTGGAAATAATAAGATATGTGCTGAAATCATCCTTATTTCTTTTGTGGTTCTATTTGAATTTACACTTACTGGTAAAGTGTACCTTGCTGAATTGCTGAAGGTTCATGTAAATTACTAGAGCAGTGCACGAGCATGAAGTATGTAGAGTTGATTTTGGGGTAGAGCACTATCCTTGAGCAGACTGGAGCATGCAGCTCCAGCACCTCTGAACTAGCAGTGTGTTCTCAGTATCATCTATGGTACACACTACGAATATGGCAGGGGCTTGAGAGGGTGATCTCTTGAGTGTACATGGCCATGACAGGAACTGACTTATGTGGGTTGTTTGTTGTTTCTGTTACAAGACAGCAAACTAGATGAAAACTAGAGAGTCGTGTTTTGCACTCCATATTGCTGGCTTGTTACTCTTAAGGGGTACTTTTAAGAAGGTACGGCTTTTCAATGCCAATCTGTAAACTTCACATGAAAAAATGAACTGTTTGGTGTTCTTGCAACATAAAGGCTTTGTTTTACATTTACTGTCTGGGATAGTTGCCAGTTCTGAGAAATAATATTTCCCTATAGACTATACAAATATCTGTACAGTCAACAGCTCTGAAACTGTGTTTGTGATAAGAAATAATCTGAAACATAGAGTTGATATGTCTTTCTTCAAGGGTTTTATTTTCTAGTGTACAAGCTCATTAAGCAGTAAAATGACACCAAAGTACCCTTTTAAGTGGCAGAAGCAGCAGGCTGACTGATCCATTATTTAAATCGCCATGCCTTTAAAATTATGAACCCTGAAATTAGGAGTAGTGCTTTTTTTTTTTTTTTTTTTTTTTGCTACATAATGCAAGTATATTGGTTACTTCTGATAAAACCCAAGATCATATTCCTTTGGACCTGAGAAGGATGGAAGAGCAAAGGCAGCTGCACCAAAACATGCCTGTGTCTGTGCATACAACTGGAGGACCATGAATGTGAGAATGATTAACTCCCAGCTCAAGCTGGATCCTTGCAAATCTATGGGGCCTGAATTCCTCAGAGAGTGGGGTGAGATCATTACAAAGCTCGTCTCATTGATTTTTGAGCAGTCTTGGAAATTCTAAGAGGTCCTAGCTGACTGGAAGCTGGCAAACATTGTCCCAGTTCTCAAGAAGGGCAAGAAGGAAGGGCAAGAAGGAGAGCCCCTTCCACAAGCCTGTCAGTCTCACATCAGTGCCTGGTAAAGTTATGAAGAAGCTTATTCTGGATGGTGTTGAAAAACACCTGAAAGACAATGCAGTCCTTGGTCACATCCAGCACAGCTTCAAGAGAGGAAAGTCCTGCTTATTGAGTCTTCCTTTATGACAAGGTAATCCATCAAGGGAAACCAATTGATGTGATCTTTTTGGATTTCAGTAAAGCTTCCATTGCTCTCTCTCACTGTATCCTTCTGGACAAAATGTCCAGCTCACAGCTGGACAAACAAATCATGGGATGGGTGAGAGCTGGCTCATGGGCTGGGCACAAATGGTTAAAGTGAAAGGGGTGACTTTAACTATTGACTCCCTCAGAGGGAGGGAGGCCCTGCAGAGAGACCCTGACAGATTAGAGAGATGGTCAATTCACCAACCATATGAACTTCAACAAGGGCTGGTGGCAGATTCTGCACCTGGGATGGGGCAGCCCTGGATGTACAGACAGACCGGGCAATGAGAGGCTGGGCAGCAGTGCCATGGAAAGGGCCCTGGGGTTGTGGTCCATGGCAAGTTAAACATGAGCCAGCCGTGCCCTGGCAGCCAGGAGGGCCACGGCTGTCCTGGGGGCATCAGGGACAGCACTGACAGCTGGGCAAGGGAGGGGATGATTGTCCTGCTCTGCTCTGCACTGGGGCAGCCTCACCTCGAGTGCTGAGGAACTTTTGGGTGCCACAATAGGAGACATTAAAGTACTGGAGAAGATCCAGAGGAGGGCCATGAGGATGTTGAAGGTTCTGGAGGGGAAGCCTGATGAGAAACAGCTGAGCTCACTTGGTTTGTGAGAAGAGGAGACTGAGAAGAGACCTCATTGCAGCCTGCAACTTCCTTGTGTGGGGAAGAGGAGGGGCAGGCACTGATCTCTGTGTGACTGGTGACATGACCTAAGGGTCATGCCTGAAGTTGTGTCAGGTGAGGTTGAAGCTGAATATTAGGAAGAGGTTCTTCACCCAGATGGTTTTTGGGCACTAGAACAGGCTCCCCAAGGAAATGGTCCAAGCACCAAGTCAGATAGATTTCAAGGAGCATTTGGACAATACCTTCAGACACCTGGTGTGATTCTTGTTATGGCCCTTGTAGGGCTAAGAGTTGAACTCAGTCATACCTGTGGGTCTCTTCCTACTCGGCATATTCTGTGATTCTGTAATTTTAACTGTCTTGTCCTGTTATGCTTTTGCTTATACTACAGCTAGCTGAAGAGCTGCTTTCTAAGTGCAGTTTGTGCTATGGACTGAGAAGTCTGCATGTCTGAGGTTTTGTTTAAAAACTTTCTGCAACTTATGCAAAAAGAGCCACAGAAATAAAAGTTCCCCTCCATGTGGGCTTTTTCTTTTTCTCTAGAATTATGAACCAATGCCATGTAAGCCTTCCTGTTGCTTTGTCTGCATCTTACCAGTAAAATGTGTTAACTGTTTGTGCTTTTAATTGTTTTGGGATTCAGGTCTTTCTGCCGTCTAAACTGAGAACATCATATGTGATCTGGTTTGTTCAATTTGTGTCGGACACATGTACCAACAGACTGTGGAAATATTTTCAAACTGTTCATTATCTTATTAATATTGTTGATATTTTATTACAAGATGCCTTTTCTTTCATCTTGAGTTCCTAGTGTGTAAGGAGTTTTCCGGAGGAAGAGTTAAAGTTCCTGCTGCAGAAGAGACAAAGTACTTGAACATTTCTGTACCACATTCCAGTCCAGGACCAACAGGTCAATGCTTTGAGATCTTTCTTGGTTTCATATGCACCCTGGTCCAGGTCTGAGGATTCATTCGATTGAGCCCTACAGCAAAGAATGTGCCCAGTTGGAAACCCCACATTTCCATGTGGAAATACTTGATTTGAGAGTCCAACTGAGGCTGGCATAGAACATATCAGTACCAAGGCATACATCCCTTACAATGACTTGTTTTATAGGTCTTGTTTGGAAAACTAAGTAATTAGGGAGAACCAGTGCCTGAATACGGTAGACAATGGCAGAGTGGTGTCTCAAGCTTCTAAACATCCCAATTCTTTCATGCATCTAGTCCTCAACTCCTTGTAGGTAAATGCTTCTGATGTGCATGCATGAAAGTATTCTTGGGCATATATGTGGATTCTTTGAATGGAAGGTATGTATTAGGC